ATCATTACTGGGTAACTCATGATAATTCTTTCTTTTCACTGGTCTTAAGCTCTCCTGTTTATCAGACTTACTGAAGTTGCTCTTTTGAGCCGTGTATGATTTTGCATCACACTTCTCTCTGTGAAAAAAATTCTGTGAAAACAACCCAAGCGCTTTTCCTGAAGACGGTGCTTCTCCAACTCTAATCTCTCAAAGCTTAATTACCTTGCCTACATTTCTTCACCATGTCACATTGCCTTAATCTTGCACACCCTGTTACCACCCACAAAGTTGGCAACTCATTAGATGATATCTTCACAAGAAATTTCATCTCAAGTAATTTTATAGTGATCTCCAAGCAGTGTGTCTATTTTTCCACTTCCTCATATACAATCCCACCCGATCCCACTTAGCTACCAGTGAGCAGCCTTTAAGGAAACTTACTCCATTCATCCTCCCTCCTTGCTATAATCTCCTATCTGCCCTGTAATACTACCAGTTCCACTTGTTCAACATCTTGTTCAACATCTTGTTCAACATCTTTTGACTCTTAATCAGCATGACCATCATCCATTGGGCTGTCATCTTCAGTAAAGTGCCTTTAATGCAAATTGTCTTCCTGTACATGCTTAGTATCACACCTCAGTTGAGTGACTTTACACCTAAATAAGGTGTGTTGGCACCCAAAGAAAACTTTCACCAAAATGTTCACAACTACAGGAAACCTCACCTTCATATTGTTAACAGGCATATTTTCATTCTCATTAGTGTCAATACAGAATGTTTACAAGGTCATGACTGTGCTGCAGAGTTAGAATTCATAAGCAATGGTTATGTTTGCTGAGCATAAGCAATCATTTTCAGTCCACAATCTTAGTGCTGCAGTTATTTTAACCTGAGTACAAGAGAAGATGAACTTAGAGATGCCATTCAAATCCAGATTCTGTCCCTTGACAGGAATGAAATCATGAAATCAGTGAAAATGTTTATGCTACACCAGGGGTTCTGAACTCTGGGCCTGATGATCTACTGCCCTAGAGAGTTCAGTTCTAACTCACCGGATAATATTCAGAGGCTCATGACGGCCTTCATTAACTGGATCAGGTGAGTTAGATAAGAGATGGAACTCTGTAGGATCAGCAGGACCAGGCACTCCTGTGCTACAATATCTTAATACTTTAAATCTCATAATCTTTTTTAAAACTGATGCTCCAGCTGTCATGCATACAGTTGGTGTTAAATATGGTTTTCATTAGAATTATCTGTTCATTAGAAAAAATTGTTCATTTCGACTTATTCACTGATTCCACTGTTGCTTCCAGAGGAGTGTGTTGTGTCAAATGACTCGTTCATTCTGTTCAAGTTCCTGGTGTCCTCCCTTGAAACTAAGAAACTGGCAGGCGGTTCAGTTCAGTAGTCCCAAGCAATTTAGTAATTTTTAACAGTTCCCTTCTCAGGTTTATGTCTGAGAATTGAAGGAACTAAAAGGCAAATGCATAGCATATAAAACATAATCTATAAGCCAATTACATGAAAACATACCCCCAAAAACACCCTGGCTACATCTTCGTGAGTGAATCGCTCTCTGTTTTTGTCAGCAGTATGTCAACATTTTGACTTAACTAGAACTAATGACTTATTTTCTTGATATTCTGACATAGTAGATCATCATTTCGAGACATTATGTCAAAATGACGTATCTCCTATAAATGTTTGACTTAGTATCTCAAAATAATGTCTTATTTTCTTAACATTTTGGCTTGGCATCTTAAAATAATGACTTACTGTTTCAAAATAAGGCTTTATTTTCTCAATGTTGACATTTAAAAATTGCTGACGTTTGAAGTCAGTACTTGGAGATCCTATGTTAACATTTAAGGATAATAAGTAATTACTTTGAAATATATTAACTTTTTTAGAAAATATGTCATTATTTAGACACAATAAGTCGTTATTTTGATATACAAAGTCAATTTTTTTCACATACTGCTGCCTAGTAAGCTCCAATCCCATTTCTTAATTTTACCCCTACCCCTTGTTTTCGAGTGTCACGTTGCCCCTTGGAACTGAGTTAAAAGGAGTAGTGGTTGAAATCCTCCCCTATGAAATGAGATAAACCTCAAATAAAAAAGAACAGTACTTCATTAACTGGCGACTAGCGGTGCTCTGTAGGCGACCCTGCCAGTCTGCAGTGACAGCAGAGGAGGGTGAAGTTCAGCAACCTCACTGCTGAGCTTAAGTAAAATTTAAGGCATTATATGCCTTCAAAGAGGGAAGACACGACAATGATCATCACCACCCCTAATTCATCTGTGATATGAAGCTGAAGTCAGCTGTTCTCCAGCTTCTTGTTTGATTTTTCCTGTTCCACCTTAAACGGAGCAGCAGTTACATTCTGGTGCTTTAGAACTGCTGCGCCATTTAAGGTGGAGCGGGAAATTTAGCTAGCTAGCTACAGAGACATCAGCATATTACAAGCGATTTTCATGCTTATTATGAAGAAAAGGACCATGATGCATTGAAATGGCATTAAAACAAGATAATAGCATGTTTACTGTAAGTTTTAGCAGAGAAAATACTTATATTTGTGGGTTTCTTTGGTTGCCTGCGCAGCCATCTTGGCGTTTTTTTTTCCCCCATAACACTCAAACCTGTGCAGCCCTAACACTTCGCCCTACCTCTCTAACTCAACAAAAATCATGACACCCCACCCCTAGACGTGCATACGCATAACGGCGCGGCGGGGGTAAGGGCTAAGGGGTAAGGGCGAAAGGGGTAAGAGGTGAAATGGGATTGGGCCTAAGAATGAAAGAGAAAAAGCAGGATTTTTTTTCGTCTACCTGGTGGGCTTCCGTACTATCCACCTCTAATGAAGATGCATTTCAGTACAAGAATTAGAGTTTTGAAAACGTTTCAAAAAGTCTGTTTCTGATCGCAACAGTAGAGGATGTCAACAAAGAGGATGTCATTTCATCTAATTAGCTCATTTGGTCAATAAAAGACGGTAAACTCGTGGACACTATTGTTATTTAGATTCTCCAAGACTTTCGTGTTTTCCGTACTTTGCCTCAAACATTTATGTCTGTGTTAAAGAATGCAGAGCTCGTTAATGATATCTTGACTTTGCGGGGACCCTCTGAGCATCAGGACTTGGGGGCACTGCTTTAATTAGGACATTAGGTGTGGTAGTGCTCAGCTTCACCGCTGTGGGGCGCCTGTTCACCCACTTTAACTACACAGCCTGTGCTGTGCTTATTCCGACTGAAAGAGCCAGAGAGCTGGCGGGAGGACCAGACCTCTGTGAACTAACATAAATACCAGCCGTGCTGCGTCTGACACTCGGATCTGCTTTACAGTCCAACTGTTAAAGAAGCCAGAGTAAAATCTCACTGAATGAGCCGCATTTCCGCTCTGAAAAGCGGGTCCAGGGCCGGCCTGCTGCTGTTTGTTGGCCGTTTCTCCGGACAGCAGGCGACCAGCAGGAGAGGAGCACGAACCAACAGCGCCGCGAGGACCTGAGCCGTTACCAGGGAAACACCGCACGAGACTGAAGAGGAGCGCAGTGAGTGAAGTCTCGCGATAACGAGAACTGTTATTCCTACAGAGCCTGTGAAAGGAATTTAGTATTTCCTCTTTTAGCAGAAATACACTGTGTGGTATGAATAAAGGAGCTCAGATAGTACTCATTTATTATTTATTAATTTATTATTTACTACTACGTTGTCTTAGTATCATATTTAACATATTATTATTGTTATTATTATTATCATTAGTAGTAGTAGTAGTAGTATTAGCGTTGTTGTGACTGGCGACCTGTCCAGCGTGTTTCCTTCCGCCCATTGACCGCTGGGATAGGCTCCAGAAGGATGAGCGGCTTAGAAAGTGTGTGTGTGTGTATAGCGTTGTTGTTGTTGTTGTTGTATCATGTACTACTGATATGCCAGTTCAAGAAACTCAATCAATAGTAATAAGCAAGACAGTCATTTAATGTAGAATTAACTGCAGTAAATGTGGACTTGGTGAACACAGCAGTAGTAGTTTAATGGTGTTTGTTTGCATGGATGTTTTCCAGAATTTCTGAAGCCCCACTAACACAGTGGTCACCAGCCTCGCTCACTGAGATCTACCATACTGAGGAGCCTGTGAGTCTTAAATGATCTTACTAAGCTCGTAATAGCTCCAGCGCTAAAAGTGAAGAAGCAAACTTCAAACATCAAACATGTCTTATCCGGTCAGCTACATGTGGGGTAAGGCGGGGGCGGATTATGTGCATTTTACTGTGAGGTGAACCAGTCAGTGAACATGTCACGTGAGTGTATAACACGCAGAGAAGCACGTGGAGCAGCCAAGCCGCGCCGTCTGACTGCACCCTGCCGTAACTCCGCCCTGCAGCACAGCCTGTACCTCAGTACAGCACAGCATCCACAGCATATTCACAACTCTGTCTGTAGCCTAACAGCACACACACGGGTTTAATGTCTGAATCGGTTTCCTCAGTCGAGCTGTGTCTATGCAAGTATGTATAACTGAATACAGTGGATTGCTAATTTGTCTGTCTGTCTGTCTATCTCTCTTTCTATCTATCTATCTGCCTGTCCATATATATATATATATATATACACACACACACACGCACCTTCTTTCTTTCACTCCAGTATTCCGACAAAGCCCGCCTCCTGAGCTCCTATTGGCTGGGAGTCTTGGCCGGCCTGTGTATTAGCCAATGCTGGTGCAAGAGGCGGGAGGCTGCAAGCCAATCCAAGTTAAAGGGCGGGGTTTAGTGGATAAGCCCCTCCCCTGACCGGACTCTGAGCAGAGCAACAAGTGGAGCGCAGAGCAGCTGAAGCCCGTTCTCTGAGCGGCTCTGTGTCTGTGTTGGACTCCGCTCTACAGCTCGGACTGAGCGCTGTAAACACTCTGCCGGATCTCTCTCACACCGCGGCGCTGAGGACTGATGACAGCCTCGACTTCTGGAGAATGACGCTCTCCTCTTAGTTCAAGGTGAGTGAAAACTATTACAGCCTGAAAAGAGCTGTGTACCCAGCAAATGATTATTTTTTTAAATGGTTAACACTATTCTAATAATCATCATTATCATAATACATTTTTATTCATATTTCACTTTTCATTTTAGTTACAAATCTTCAAAGCGCTTTTTACAGGAATAAAAGTGAAACATTGGAAAAATAAAAACACCCTCTAAATCAAAATAACAGCACATTATAAACTGAGAAAATGGGCCACAGTACTTCTAATCATATGCTTGCCTAAACAAATATGTTTTCAATCTGGATTTAGAAATGCATATCAAGCTTTCATTCCTAATATTCTCTATAAGAAAATGATCTTCCATCAGCTGAGCTGTAAGTGATCCCAGGCCTTTGCTGTAAGCCAACTCAGCTGAGCAAAGTGCTCTGGCTGGGCTATATGTCTTCAGTAAAATATATCAGAGCAGACTGTTAAGACCTTTAAATGTCATTTAGTCATTTTAATTTAAAAGTTTCTAGTTAAAATATTTGAATATTTATATTATCTTAATTTATTTGTGCTATTCCCCTATAAAAAAAAATAGTACCACAGGAATTTCTACAGGATTTCTGCAGACAGTGTCTCACCGGTCACTGCGAGTATTATGCTATTATTATAGATGACTATACTAGACAGTACAATAATATTGTATATACGGATGTGCATCATTTTTGAATGACTGAACTATTTGTCAGTATTTATCCTGCCACTCAGTTGGAGTCATACTCAAAAACATTACCATTACCTACCCCTGATTAATCAGCAAAGTTAATGTGCCTCCAGGCCTCTATTCTTGGTTACGGGGACTGGACACAGGGTCTGCAAAAGGTGGCAACACAAATAACTCAAAGAGTACTGAATCTCTACAAATGCTGAGACAACGCTTGAACTTAGAAGAGCTTGGAGCTGTATGTTTGATGTTTGTTTGTTTTTTTTTTAACTATTGTTAACCTTCTCCTACCACCCCAGGGTGCATCACTTTTCTGTTCTGAGCTCATATTATCTTAAATGTGTTGTTTATAAGACACAGACCATCTGGGGAATGTTGAGAAGAGCTGGGCCTTCTGGGAACGGGGCGCTTTTTTCTGATTCTGTCGCACCAAACTGTAGAGATCATCCAAGGACATGGAAACAAGTGACCCATTGAAGTGCTCAGCTCTCTGGCATCTCTCTCTCTCTCTTTTTTTTTAAGAGGCCTGGTAGCACAGTAGCACCTTTTGCCTGAGTTGATGGCCCTGCATTGCTGAATGTAATTGTATTTAAACCTCTTGAAAAACACCATCAGCAGATTCCTGGTGGCCTGTAAGTCCGTCATTTCTATATTTGTTTAAGATGGCAATATAGGTTCATTTCCATACGTGTGTATAGGTACTGAATGTGTTTGATGCGGATAGATCATTTTCTTGTATTTGCATATTTTTCCTCTGGGTTTGTTTCATAGTCCAACCTTTTTGCCCGGTTGTTGACTGAAGCAAAGTGTGTATGTGTGTGTGTCTGTGTGAGTTGAACAGGAGACAGTTAATCAGTCACGGTTGAGCAAATGCACCAAATATCCCGAGTTGACCTAAAAGGCCAGTGCCGGTCAGTTTTGGTTACAAGAAGTGGGCAATGGATCATTATGTAAAGGTCAGACACTTGTTTTAAATTTCTGAAACTTTTGAGCTCAACCACCAAGTAAATCCTTTCTGTAATAGGCTAGTGTAAAAGCCATGATACAGCAATACTTCAGTGCGTAACTTTCGTAACATTTGATGTAATACTGTCCTTTTTACTGAGTAACAGGAAATGTAATACCTGATTACATGCAGGAACTGACATCGTCCATTTTTAGTCCTAACACAGTGTACGGTAGGCCAGGGCTCTTCATCTCCAGTCCTGGAGGCGCAGTGTCCAGCGCAGTTTGGTTATTGCCCTACTCAAACACCTGCTAAATGTGTGTGTAGGTGTGTTTGAGCAAGGAAATCATCAAACTGTGCTGGACACTTGCCATCCAGGACTATAGGCGATAACCTGTAAAGTTTGTGAAAAAAAAGAGCCTACACCCCACAGTACATGTATCACAGCCAAATGAACACTGTGTAACTTCAGAATTAGAGTTGAACAAGTATCTGACAGAAAAACACCCCCTCTGGCATAATCTTTGCATTTGAGCTTTACTTATCTTCACCTAGACTGACACTCACCACTACACTTACTTCCAAAAACATCTCACTTTGAATAAAAGTGGGAAGAACACTGGATGGGGCAGAAGGTAAAGGAAGGGAAACCACTATAACTGCTGGTGCTGGGCTTCCATCTGCCTGACAAATTAATGGGACTGAAGGCAGGAGGGTCACTAGAGATTTGTGGATGGGGACTAAGCCTTTACTAAGGGGTTCTGGGGGCATGCTGCCCAAAGAGGGTGTTTTATAATGGGCCCAAAATGTCTGGTTATCATGAACTTTTTAGAGTAGCAATAGGTGGAAAATTTACAACCCTGTTTCCAAAACAATTGGGACGCTGTGCAAAATGTAAATAAAAACAAAATGCAATGATGTGCAAATCATTTAAACCCTATATTAAATTACAATAAGTTCAAAGACAACATATCAAATGTTGAAACAGAAAAATTTTATTGATTTTTGAAAAATATACATCCATTTCAAAAAAACCTGGGATGGGGGCATGTTTAGCACTGTGTTTCATCACCTCTTTTAACAGCACTCAGTAAGCATTTGGATACTGAGGAGCCCAATTGTTGTAGTTTTGAAAGTGAAATGTTTTCCCGTTCTTGCTTGATATAGGATTTCAGCTACTCAACAGTTCGGGGTCTCCTCTGTCATATTTTTTGTTTCAAGCTGTGCCAAGCTTTTCAATGGGTGACAGGTCTGGACTCTTTTATGGAGCCATGCAGTTGTAATATGTGCAGAATATGGTTTGGCATTCTCTTGCAGAACTAAGCAAGGCCTGATCTGAAAAAGACGTTGTCTGGATGGCAGCATATGTTGTTCCAAAACTCAGCATTTATGGTGCACGTCACCCATGCCATGTGCACTGTTGCATGGCAATACCATCATGGTTGCTGGCTTTTAAACTGATGGCTTATAACAAGCTGGATGCTCCCTATCCTCTTTAGTCTGGAGGATGCGCCATCCATGATTTCCGAACAGAATTTCATATACATAAGTATACATAAATCCACATTGTAGGGAAATATCTTCACTCTGTAACTACTTACTGATGCAGACTGTATATTATATATTTTGAATAAGGCCTGATCTCTATTTTATTTTCCGGTGCTGTGCTCTGTCTAACTCCCTTTCAAATTAAGGTAAGTACCCAGCTAGAAGGCCAAAAAAGGTTTGCAAAACATTGCCATATTTTGCCTCACATTGCCTCAACAAAACCAGCTGTGCCACAAATGGTGACTAGTTCAGCTCTCATTTGGTGTCAGATAGTAGTGTTTGTATGTCAGACTCCTGTGCTATAAATAATGACGTTCAATATCATACAGTAACATTACTCTGTAATATCCCACTGTTTTAGTATTTAGTCATTCTTATTTCTTCTTGAGGATTCGTTTGATGTTTCTTCAAATGTTGCTATTCATCAGGCCAATAGGCAAACTAAATCATAATGTGATTCTCACTGGGTGATAGTCATTCAATCTGATTTTCTTTGTTTGGTGTTGTGTCTGTGTGCTTATCTGAAGAGCATACGTTTTGTATTGTGTCCCCCTCCACTGCATGGTACATATATGTTACAATTTTCCCCTGACCAGGATTTCTGTTTAGAATGCTTCAGGAATAAATTCTTTGGTTTTTTGTCATTGTTGCCAGAGTTTGCAAGGCTTCGTGTACACGGCTCTAGCCATTCAATTCAAACAAATTTTTGATGTGTTTGAAGCCTGATGTATTTCTTTACTATTTTGTTCACTAATGGTTATTAAATATTTCCTCACTTTCCTTTACAGGGTATGGTAACATTGGTCAGGTTTAGCGTTGTGTAAAATGTAATTAGTTTCTTCCATTTTAAAGCAATAAAGTAACCCTAAATCCCTTTGTCCTGAAGAGTATCATCTCTGTTTAGCATTCTCGTCCTTTCTATAAAGAGTCAGTCTTTAGCTGGAGTGCGTCTACCTTCCCACTGAATGGGCACCATGGAAACGTCCAATGGCCTTTGTCTTCGTTGTCCACTGTTCTGTAGAGCTGTCTAGCATGAAAATAATGTTAACCTGTTGTTGTGTGCCTCTTTTTGACATGTTTTGTAAGTTCTTGTAGTTTCTTCCTTGTATCTTTTTGACAATAACTTACTGTTGTGATGTTTGTGGAAATCTCAGAGTAGTTTTGCAATATTTAGGATAGTGTAATTTAACTAATGTCGTTATCGCTCCAGATAACCCAATTAGCAACTTTCTTAAAGAGCGCACATGTGTAGTGGTGTTTGGTTATCTATGATGCTGTTCTGAGAGTACAGTTGTTTTCTGTAGCCTTTCTTTCAGTTTTTGTCAGTTGCATCATTCAGTTTACAGTTCAGCTGTATTCCACTCTCGTTCTACCTTGTTCTCCTACTCAGTGGCAGGATTCCGGACATGAAAGCCCTTTTTGTAGTACTGGCACTCTGTGTGCCAACCCGTTCCTCATCTATCTCCATTCTTATCACATCTCCAAGCAGTGTGCCAGCTCCTCTAAATGGCTGCAGGCTTTCCCTGGGGTGTCATTTGTTGGTCCATGCCCTGGATGCATTCCAGAAAAACAGTTGATTTTCCCTCAGTGCTGCCCATTGTTTGGAACGGAGAAACATGGCGCGGTATTTTCAGAGGTTTTGCTGTGTTTACACTGTGCAGAACTGCCCGAACAAGTTGAGCTGGGCTTAGGTGAAGCAGAACTTAATGGCTAGAACATCAGGTACATCCTGAACTTATCTCCTTTAGTTCTGCATGCTGGACTTGAGATGATACCTGTGCTTGAGGTGATAGGTGTGCTTAAGTGCTGTTACTTGGCAAACAGTTCTCTGTGCTTTTGGAAATTTATATGGCAGACGGCTTTTAATCTTCCCACAGTTTGTGCTCCGTTGGAGGTTTTTCTCTACAGTGCATTACATTAAAACAACAGTTTGACAAAAAAGTAAACATTTACACAATTCCCCCTTACCTCAAATGTAGTTGATCAGTCAAGACATTTTTGATGTCTGACGTTTGCTTCTTTAGGTTTAGACTGGAGCTAAGGGGCTAATGTAGCTAACAAGTACTGGATACATATAGCTATAGCCTGCCTAGTTTATTATATACTTGGCTAAAACTGAGTTAAGTTGTTACTAAACCTGGCAGGTGTGTCTGAGCAAAGAAATCATCATACTGTGCTGGACACAGGCCTGGAGTTGAAGACCCTTGCTGTAGATGATAACCTGTACAGTTTGTAAAAAGAGTGTCTGGCAGAAAAGAACATCCACTCTGGTTTTATTCATTTATTTATTTGATTATTTATGCATTTCAGGCTCACTTATCTTTACCGAGGATCTAGATTGGCAGTCACCACTACACTTATTTCAAAGAACGTCTCACTTTGAATAAAAGTGGGAAGAACACTGGATGGGGCAGAAGGTAAAGGAAGGGAAACCACTATAACTGGCGGTGCTGGGCTTCCATCTGCCTGACAAATTAAGTGAATGTACCCAGCTAGAAGCCATACTGTGCTTCACATTGCCTCAACAAAACTGTGTCACAAATGACTAGCTCAGCTCTTATTTGCTGTCAGATAGTAATGTTTCTATGCCAGACTTGTGTTCTATGTATGAAATGTTCAATATCATGGAGTAACGTTACTCTGACATATTCCATTGTTTGAGTACTCAAAGCCATTTTTATTTCTTCTTGAGGATTCGTTTGATCTTTCTGTCAAATGTTACTATTCATCAGGCCAATAGGCAAACTAACTCTTAATGTGAGGCCCACTGGGTGATAGTCATTCGATCTCATTTTCTTTGTTTGGCGTTCATTGTGTCTGTGTGCTTATCTGAAAAGCATACATTTTGTATTGTGTCCCCCTCCGCTGCATGGGATATACATTACAATTACATTCTGGATACAATGGCTTTAAGTACACCATAAATCCCAACACTAAGCTTGTCTGGAAAGTGAACTGTAAAAATATTTTTTTCTACAGTAAACTGTAAACTCCTGTCAAATATATTCATATGGTGAATATAAATCTAAGGGTAATTTCAAAATCTTCTCCTGCTGAAAACAAATCTAAACTTATTCATAGACTGTATTTAATTCCCTGTTTATGTTTCTACCATAATTGGGCCTCATTCACCAACCATTCTTAAGAAGAAATTTCTTTTTAAAACCCACAGTTTTCACATTTGGGATGTGTTCATAGTTAAAAACAGAATCTACACACTCAAGATCACAAAGGTGTGAACAAGTCTGCGGTTTAAGAATGTCATGAATCTGATGTAGACTCTTTCTTAGATCCTTTCTCAAGAACAGATTTAACAACAAATTAATGAAGATATTGGCGATTAAGGCCCTATGTGCTTACTCAATTTTGTTCCCAAAAAGATTGGTGGATTTTGGCCCCTGGTTGGTTGGTCTCATTTTATATTGATGTGTTACTGGCTCAAATTATGTTCATACTGTTTATTGATTAGGTTTTGCAGGATAAGCAGTAAATTTGCAGATGGGCTCCTTTTTTGCAATCAGGTCACACCTTGTGCGCCTGCTTGCATTTGTTGGCATTCACACCTCTATATTTAGTGCTTGTTACCAGCTCGTTCAGCATTACACCGCTGCGTCTCTGTCTGTCTCCCTCCCTCGCTTTTCCACACGTCCATCTTACAGATGGCACTTGGTTGGGGAGCTATTATCAGAGTCTGAGCCATGTGTGAGTAACGTCTGTGCTCTGCGTTAGATTTCTAGAGGAAAGTATGAGATGCTTTGAAACCATCATACCATTTTTCTTTTTATCAGAAAGTGTCTGAGGGAACAGCTTAAACATAACCAATCAAATATTCTAAAGACATTTGTCTATTCATCATGGTAGAAACAGAAGTAGGTGTGATATCAAACAATTCCAAAATTAGTGCTAATTAAAGGGCGTAACATTAGCAGTTTATGGTCTATCAGAACTTGCAATATGAACTTCCAAACAGTGTAAAATGAAATCATAAATAAAAATTAGAGCTTTTAAAATCAGCTTGAATTTGTAATTGAAAATGATCCAATCAAACATGACCTGTTCTAAATTCAGTGGTAAATGAAGTGTTTAACAATGTTTGGTCTACAGAGCATTGCACAATATGCTTTCACCTCTCAAGCTATTTTTTGGTCTTCTGCCAAGCTTTCCACCAGGATAGCTAAGTGTTCTGAGATTGTGCTGGCACTGGTTGTCTCGGATAAGAAATCCCAACCAAGACAGGAGCACTGTTGCTATTTGTGTCGCATCATTTGATTATTCACTCCTACATCTTGTGATAGTAGCTTAATGCTTTTTACTGTGCCAGAGCTTGTTTGCTGAATAATGCTAGCTAGCACTGGGCTGAAAATAAAGTTGATAAGGAGAAAAACCAATAAGAACAGCTGTGCAGAATGTACAGTTTGCTGTATGTCCTTATAGTTATGTTTTTTTTTGGTTACAGTTTTTCCTTAAGCCACTTAATAAAGGGACCAGTTCACTTTTAGATGATCATCCAGGTGGAGTACATCTATGGCTTACTGTACAAATATACATTTATCTCTTTACAACCTCGTAAATCCTTTTTCCCCAGATTTTATTAGTATGTCTGATACCCTTTGAAAACACGAGCTGCCTTTTACACCGTGTGAACATTTCATGGCAAACTGAACAATAGAAAAGTTGTGAATTGTTTTAACAGCAGTGAGTTCTCACTCTTCCCACTTCACTTCTGAAATATCTCTCTATATAAAATAATAATATAAAATATTTACTTTCAGTATGTTGATTAAAAACATTCATTTCCATTGCATCGGTAGAACAGCCACTAGAAAGCCTGCAGAAAGAGGCTACTTTGCATTTACAGATGGTAAACCCACCAAGTTTACCAAGTTACTTGAGTGTATATTCCTTTTTATGTCCCCTTTTTTACTTTAACAAAATACTAGTAAAATGCCATGCAGGTTTTTAACCCCTTGCATGGTCAGGGCCCACCGGGAGGCCCAAAGTTTTATTACACACTTCTATATCCTAAGAATAGCTCAGCCAGTTTGCACTGAAGTCCCTGTAGTTACTGAATAACAAGATTTAGTATGTAATAAGCCTGGATTTGAAGAGGTTAAAGAACTGTGCATGAAAGTCTACAATTTTACGTGTTGTAGATTCTTGGAAAACTGAATGGAAAAAAAATGGATCAATAGTGCATCCATGTGCATAAAATCACAGTGAAAATGGACACAAATGCAATGAAAACATTTTTCCTTCACTTTTAAAGTAAATATTGCTGTATTATGAGGGTTTAAGAGAGTGCATATTTAGTGTAATAACACACAGCTGTGTTTTTTCCTCTCAGGTTGAAGATGATGACGGAACAGTTGGATCAGAGTGATGAGATGGGTCTGCTGACCCCCCCGGAGATCAGTGAGCACCAGAAAGAGGACGACCCCCACTGTCTCCCACACTTCAGACAAGGCATCATGTGAGACATGTTCACACGCGCACACATTCCCCTTCTCTCGCTAACCATAACAGCGCTGCTCCTCTCCGGCAGATGATCAGACCTGTAGGACTTTTCCAGAAAGGCCTTGTGTGTTCTAGTAAGGCATTCCAGAATCTACTTTACGTCACTTCTGCCTGATTGCTTCTTCAGCCCTGCAGGCCTGAGCCTGTACCACACTGACTGGTTCTGCAGACAAGGGCAGGGCAGCGGAGGCTTACTATAAACACTTACCACATTCATCCACACCAGCTTATTATTAAGGTCACCTTATATGCATTATAAAGCATTGGTAATATCTGTGCATTGTTGTGTCTGTATCTAAGGCCAAGCCTGTTTGGGAAGGACAATATTGTTTAGTTTTCAGAGTGATGTTAAGTGTCTCTGAATAAGAAAACTGACTCAGGATCAGCTGCACCCTATCCATACATTCAGACTATAAGAACAGCACTCAAACGCACACATTTAGTGCATATCTGCCTTGCATTAGTCACAGTGTAGTTAATGTCACAGCGCAATAGTTTGTTTTCCAGTAAAGGCCATGGCAAATGATCTCAGTGTAATCACATGAAAACAAGTGGCTTTAAGAAGGGTTTTTGAGCTTAAAGGATTTTTCAGCACCTTCATCCCTTTATTTATGAAAACCTTTTTGACGTCAGTGTGCTCTTTATAAACTTTAGTCACTTGCCCAAATGTGGTTATTCCATGGCAGAGAGAATTGAACTATACAGTAATACAATACATTAATCATACAATAATAGAGTACTTTTCCAAATGTGGTTTTCAGAAAGCATACAGAATTGTGCAAAAGTCAAAGACCACCCTTTGTGTATTTAATGTGTAGTCAAAACGCCCATTAAGTACAGGTTGTTCATTTTTCTGGAGATATTTCTGAGGAGATTAGATACAAGATAATCCACTTCATTAGGAAGGAGAATGTCAAAGGGAAATATGTGAAATATCAGGAGTTTCCAAAAGTGGAGTTCAAAAAATTTGTAAAAGTTATAGAAAAAAACATGCAAAACTGACCCTCAGATGACCATCAGAACAGAACTCAAAGCTTTCATCTCTGAGAGAGAGAAAAAAATCAAGCTTCACTCTTCCTTCAGATCTGAAAACATCCACAGCTGTTTCTGTCCATCCTTCCACTGTGAGAAGAACAACTCAACAGTATGAGTCTGAAAGGATGTGTAGCTGACAAGAAGCCCTTACTGAGAAAAGGAAATAGACAAAAAGGAAGAACATTTGCAAATCAAACAATGAATGAGTTTAGGATTATTTGGATTGTGAGAAGCAGAAAATACAACCAACTTCTATGACTGAACTTTGGAGGTGTGGAAAAATATCCCTGCAGATTTCTTTACAAAACTAAAAGTAAGTCTCCTGAGAAAAATGAAAGCTATAATGAAAGCCTGGACAGAGTAAGTACATAAAAAATTAGGTTATATTTAGTTGTTGAGGTTTGCGTTTAATTTTCTGTTGAATTTTCAGTTTTTTTCCTGATGCTGAAGAATTAGTAACTTGTCCTTAATGACAATGAAATAAATAAATGGTGGTCTCTGAATTTTGGACAGTACTGTAATACAATAGTAAAACAATAATGCAACTCTCATAGGTTGTAATTGTGCTATGCTACACATGCATAGCCAATCATGTATAACAACAGCCAAAAACACAGCATTTGTAACATCTAATGTCGTATTACACGTAGTTACAACATCACAGTGCAAATCATTTCTGCAATCCTGTTTGACGTGTTGTACTGTGTTTTATGCTCTGTTTGGCAGGAGCTCGTGTGAGACAGAAAACAAGAAAAACAGAGAGGTTGTTATGGATGGAGATTAGTGTGATGAGGGTGTGCAGTGGGAGACAATAGACAGAAAACAGGGCCTCATTAGACAGTAGAGTGCCATCCTCACTCTGCTTTAGCTCACAAACACAAAGTCCCTATGAGGGGTAGGAGACCACCTATGCTGTAGTGAGCCATCGTAAATCATGAGCCTGACAATTGAATTTGAATTCTTTTTCGTTTACAATTTAGTCAATTCAGATCAATCAAGATATTATTTTTATATTATTACATTGTATTAGTACAGTTAAAATGGCTGTTTCATTTCTCCTCCTGACTTGCAGCATACTGGCACCTCGCTCCCAAATGATTCAGTGCTAATAGAGTGGGGCATTGTAGAGTATGAGAGAGAGAGAGAGTGTGCTGCTGCAGCATCCTGCACGTGCCCACTCCTCACGTTTAGAAGCGTGCAGCCCTGGTTGCGTAACAGCATAGGAGGAGGGGGAGTCTCACTCCACACACATAATCATTCTCCTCCAGAGGCAAACCATGACTGTTAGAGCTATTAAACCTTTAGTTCAGGCCATAAATGTCAAAATTTGAAGGAAACACCTATGAAAACCTATGATAATGCTAATTTACGTTAGCACCCCTGTGGGACTCTAGTAGTATGTTAGCACTAAGGAAAAGACAATTTACATGAGCATTTTTGGCCATTGTAGATTAAACCTGGATCTTTGAGGCTTATAAAGAACAGTGCATGCTTTATTTAAAGCTTGTAACAGACATATTAACATTTATTTTCATTGCAGCAATTTAACGGTGGCTATTTCAGTAAAGATTTCTGGCAGCTGCTGAAGCTGTTTTCTATTTCTAACAACTAACTAAAACCTGACAGGACTACCATTTGTATTCAGTCTGTGACTTATCTAGGACTTCCAGAAGATCTAGAGTGACATTTTTCTTCATAAAATTGGTCCCACCCATTGAAAACCAAAATGTGATTGGTTGTGATTGGTTTATTACTGGGTTATTCAGCTGATGTCCTAACGATGCTGGTAGTTAATTGTTAGGCCTTCTGTCCAGCTCCTGAAGTCCTCAAACAGAGGTCTTAAGATATGGACCTTGTATCCAGTTTATGGTCCTGGATTTTGTAACTACTAAAAGTTACCTGAACTCTTGATGTAACCAATTGTCCACCCAGTGTCATACCTGTCAACAATTACAAAATCCAGGACTGGCAACTGTTTGGCTTTTCAAGAATTTAACCCTTTTATTTTCAACCAAAACCAATTATGAATCAAATAAATGAGAGAAGTACTGAAGTACTTGCAGAGCTTAAATATGAGCATGATTCTGTTGAATGAATATGAACTAAAAATTACAGATATGTATTTTTCTTAGTTCTGAGACATTATTTGGTCTTCTCTGAAGGCTTAGAGGACCCTGAGTGTTCACCTCTGTGCTCCTCCATCTTAATTACTCACCCACTGGGTCTGTCAGACATCAGAAAGACCAGTTCACTTTGATGCAGAATCTGGTCTTTCTTTTACAGGCCTAGTAATCCAGTCTGTTGTACAAGTTACACTGACTGATCCAAAATCATTATTTAAAAGTGTCATTATAAGCTTGCATGTCTTCATCCAGCTTTAGGCCATGAATTTACTGCAACATTTGCCTCCCTAATTAGTGCAATATGTTCACAGTTTTATGACACTAGAGTGGTTTCAACTGTGTGAGTGTGTGTGTGGCTGTGATCTAGTTAAGTCCTCTTCCAGCCTCCTCCTGTGTCACTACACTAGAGACTGCTGAGCTATTTCAAAATGCATGAGATCGAAATAGACAAGAAAATGACATCACCGCTCTCTCTGCTATCAGTCAAACACCAGCCTGAGCTGAACTGATCTTTACCCCAGCAAATTTGCTTCATGTACAATATGTTTAAGTAGATCATTTTATTTTCTTTTTTCCCCCTCACTTGAGGAGACCGTCTTAAGTTGAAAACACTTTGAGCTCTCAGTAATGAATTGTTAATTTGTCCCCTCTCTTTGAAGACAGTCTTAATTAAGCGGCTGTTGATAAGGACAGGCAATACAGTGCACTCTTCCCAGTGGAGCCTCTGTATTTTTCTATTACCGAGTCTGAGGGGGTGCCATGGGAGCGCTCTGGCACAGAGTGGCCTGTTTACAATGCAGGAGACACACACACTCGCGCACAAATGTTTCTCACGGAAAGCCTTGTCGCTCACACACATCTTATGATGCGCATAGTATAGCAAGATGCTTAAGAATCATGCTTTAAGATGTGGCAGAAGATCTTTCTTTCTCTCTCTCTCTCTCTCTCTCTCTCTCTCTCTCTCTCTCTCTCTCTCTCTGTGTATGTGTCTCTCTCTGTTTCAGAGTCATCATAATTGCTTTGTGTGATGAGGCGCTCTTCGTGTAATTGATGAGCAGAGTTGTTGTGACTTGTCCTCATCATGTCTCATTTGTATCTGTCAGCTCTTTGGACAGTATGTGTGTGTATGTGTGAGTGTGCTGGTGAAGCACTGATGTTGTTTTTCTTCCTTTGCTTGTTACTAATGAGTCAGTCATGTTGATGCCTACATAAGCTTACACATACATTCGTATGCATGGTCAAATGTACCCCTGGTCAAATGACACATTCTGTTGATTTTCTAAGTGAAAGTAAGTTAACACATCCTCTACAGAGAACAAACTTAAGTCTATTTTTCTGAAAATTGTATTGCATGATTACTGATTATTTGCTGACTTTAACATATTGGGAAAAGGCCATATTTTCATATTCATTTTTTTTCCCAATGTGTCAAATTCAGCAAATAAACAGTCATTTCACAGAAGTGTGCGGAAGTGTGTTCTCTCTGGAGGATGTCTGAACTTAGAACTTAGAACATTAATAAAACGTGTAATTTGACCAGAAGTGCCCAAACCTTTGCATACAAGTGCATGCACCGTGCAGTTTTTCACACTTTCATCTAATTTTATTGTGATAAAGCTGAACTGACTGCATTATCCTTGCCAATTGTTATTTACCAAGCACTGTCTACATGACAAATGATTCGAGCATTTCAATATTAGTGAACGGTTGGGTGTATTTGTAGTAATGCTATGGGAGAGTGTGGGTACCTAGAGCCTAATAAAGCACTGAAGACTGAGCCAAGTGCAGGAATACCGATCATAACTTCCAGCTTTATAGTGTTTTGTTTAGTATGTGTGAGTGGGGAGAGGGGGGTGTTAGGATCTTGTTTATACCATCACATCTCCCTCTCCTATACACACCCAGCATAAAGATCACCTAAGATCACTCTTATCAATGCTAGACACTCATCACACTTGTACATACCCTATCAAAAGTCTATTGCCCACTTTGTGAGCTCCACCTACTTAATAGGTGTCAATTACAGACTGTAGAGGCTTGAAGTGACTAACTGTACACAGTATTTCTAATAAGGTGATCAGTGAATGTACATACACTAAAGAGGAAGTCCACATATTTTTCAGTGTCTAAATAATTCAGTTATTAAGATGTAAGCAGAGTCATTCATAGTGGTTTGATGTGAAATGGACCACAAACTTTTTTTTTTTTTACAGTTTTCTGTGGGGTCTATTTTGCCTCACAACACTCTACATATATCTCTCTGCTATGAATGTAATTTGAAAAATGCATTTTATGCCAAAAACTTGTTGAAAAACTATTGAGAAACACAATATTTTGAGGCCTCAGGCAATGTATTTGTAGCCAAAGCTTGGCAAGTTTCTCTTGCGTGACACATTTCACATCAAACCCCTCTAAACGACTTTGTTTATAATGACTTGATTATGCAGAACATTTGAAAATTGGTAGAACTCCCCTTTGCTTATGTCTCAGCCCAGCTTTAATTTCATCAAGCTGTTCTATACATGATCATGTTGCTTGGATAATAGTCATATTCAGTCAGCTCCCTTTAGTCCAATCTCATAGCTCCACAAGCAAGCATACTCGGATAGAATATCTGGCATTTCAGATGTCTCTAATTTAAGAGTGGTCTGGGAATCTAGTGATTGGACTGAATGATATGAAGCACTGATGTTGTGCTTTTTATAAAAAGTGGCCATTGATAAGAACCAGCAATACAGTGGAGATGCTGTTAGTCTGTTAGTGTTGCCCAAAAGTTGGTACTTTATTTTGCATATTTGTGTAAACGCACAAACAGAATGCAAGACAGACTTTTTATCATTAAGCGTCTCAAGCAAAAGCAACACTAGAGAATAAGAAACACAGCTGAAAACCATGAAGGGGCAAGGAATGAGCACAGTTATGTAATTATCAGTGCTGAAATTTGATGCAACAGACAAATGCATTAACATGTCGCAATTATTATTTGCACTAAACTGTCAGAGTTCCTTTATCTCTGTTCAAAGAACACTGAACACTGAACAGGGTAAAAGGGGGCTAACAAAGTATGCAGAGAAACTGATGGGCTACAGTCTGTAATTGTAGAACTACAAAGTGCACCTATATAGTAAGTGGAGCTGATAAAATGGACAATGAGCATAGAAACAAGGAGGAGGTCATAATGTTATGCCTGATCAGTGTATGTGTGGATGAGAGTGGGCCTGGGTCTGTTTTTTAGCACATGCAGTGAATGTCATTGTGGTTATTACTGTTTATATATTAAAATGAGCATGTTTTATGATCAGTCCACACTCCTGTGAGAGCTACAGAGGTGGCATCTGTTCTCTTGACCTACTTTACAAGCACTCTTTAGTCGCTGTTGCCACTGACTTTAGTTCTGTTCTTCTTCTAAGTGTCGTGGTTGCAGGTCCACTGCTGTTCTCATCAGTTTCCTGTGCGGTGTTCAGTGTACATTGCTGTAGAGAAGCCCTTAATGGGGCAACCTTGTCATTACTTAAATCATTTACTTTCTCGTTGTCCAGGATGTGACATTAGGTTTCACGTTTAAAGGGCCCATATCTCATTTTCCCCTTTTCCCCTGAAATCTATTTTGTTTGTAGTACCAATATTTGTGTTTTTGTCTCAAAAAGTCTTGATTCATTCTTATGTGATCATTTTCTAACCTTTCTTTATCTTTTGGCATTAAACAGGATGTTTATGTGACTTTAAGGCTGATTTATGTAAATAAGCTTTGTTCTGAGTGACTGCCCTGTATTTTGCACTCACTTCAAAAAGACATCCAGGCTGAAACACTCCTCATAACTACAGTGTGAATAGGTGGAGCTAATCTGCTATAGACTGAATAGGAGTATAAATGTAAATGAGTAGACATCACAAAAACAGCTAATTCTAAACAGGCAGTTTTTGCAGCTTAGTTTACATATATGGACTGTGTGGACTGTGGAGTGAATGGTACAGTTTGAATATGTAACAGTGTTTATCTATTACATTCAACTCTTTTATTCCAAAAAGAGAGAAAAGATTCAGTTTTTTCATTATATGGGCCCTTTAATGCAATATATGTGTTCACATCCCTTAAACCCTTGACTCACTATTCAGTTAAAAATCTTAAGTCTCCTGTAAATTATTTAAATATCCATTGCATTTAAAATATAGTTTTGAAATGGTACCAAATCAAATTGATGGTGAGATTTCATGAAGTGTAATTGACTTCATGACAATTTGGTTCAGAGATTTCCACCCCTAGTAACTACTATAAGAATTATTTTAAGAATAACGTCTCAGCTGTGACTCTAAGAGGAGCTCTCTGCTACTGAGCAGCACTGTGTGGGAATTCAGTTGTGTGAAGTGTCTTGAGTCATTGGTCATTGAAAAACGACAGAAGTTATTCAGGACTGCGTCTCTTTTGCAGGCCTCCAGAATGGAGGCTGTTTGTCAGACTGGGCCTTATACCCTCCACATGCTAATGACTGTGAGCCATAAAGGGTATTTGTGGAAAGCATGTTTGCACACTGCCGGCAGGGAGGAGCACTGCTTATGGTGTTAGTTCACCTCCGCTGACGGTTTTGCCTCAACATGCACCATTAGGGTTGAATTTGCATACATGGGCGGAAAGACCAGGCCTTCTCACGCCAGAGGAACAGAACTCCTTTTCTGTTTCTTAAAGGGAAATTCCACCAATTTTTCAAAATTTCTGCATAATCATTCAAAGTGCCTCTAAAAGCTCCCTCGCAGAAAGTTATTACATGCAATGGTTACAGAAACATTGTATTATGTATATTACATTTGAAATACAGTGGTGGCTTAAAATTATTTTTTTAAATGCGTGCAGGGCTAGGCAAAACAGTACCCAGGTTTTGAATTAAACACTATTTTACCATTATCAGCATTACATAAAGAAGACATGTGTAGGTTCACTGTAATTTTGGACAGTGAATAAAATGATTATATTTGCAAAATCATGTCCCCTGGTTCCTATCAACACCTCACCTACATCTCAGTGAGGAAATCATTTTGAAATATCGGTGGAATTCCCCTTTAACCAAATCCCAGTTTGAGCAATCTTATGATGATGGCAGCTTTCAAATACTCTGGGAGAAAAAAAGTCCAGCAGAAATGTCTTGAAATAGCTTCTTTCCTGTTGAAATATACCTGCATACCTCTGAATTAAAATACCCACTGCATGCACTGTAAGAGTGTCATGGTCTCTATGCACATGTACAAAGGTATGTACTAACTAGTTGCTTAAGTAACAGTTGGTATACTCAGAGTTTTTTTAAATGATACTACCCACATATGTTAGTGAGGAAAATGAATTTGCTTTTTATTCAGTTACAGTTTAGTCATTACTTTGGTGATAGACCTGTCACAAATATTACAAAATCACCTAATTGCAGTTGTTTAAGATAGCAATTATTTGAGCTGACTGCTGTCACTTTCCAGTCATTAGATTTCACACTTATATTGTGGCCTCAGCATAGGGCACGATGCAGAGGAGGCCATGATTTCCACTGCGAGAAGTGTTCTTCTATTCAACACCAAGGCAGAAAGGCACATACAGAAGCATGAATCCAAGGTCAACACTAATCATACACCTCCCCCTCACGGTAGACCAACCCCCAACACAAAACACACTAAACCCACACTCTGACACAAAACAACACAACTTAAACTGAAGCAACAACAAAATAAACATCAAAAAACAGTCCTTTTCAGAAGGGCACACACCTACTATGAGCCTCCACACATGGCCACGCCTCCAAAGTAGCTAAAGGCATTTATTGGTCCTGATTGAACAAATGTGATCCAGATCATCTTTCCATCTAAATAATTGGATCAAGTGAGATAGATTTGGCCTAGAGCTGAATTCTGCAGGAAGGTATCACCAGGAGCAGGTTGGTGTCCACTGTTTTAGAGGCTGTAAACTCTTCAGACATCTGGTTCCTACCACCACCACTGTGAACAATTCTGAGTTACGAGCATGGAGCATTTCATCAAACCACTCAGAATAACTTTGTTTACATCTTAATGACTTAATTATGCACACATTTTAAAAGATTGGTGGAATTCCCCTTTAATTATTCTTTTTTTTTTACCTGAGTGCTGTAGCACTTCTACTAAAGCTGTTTTGAGAAGGTACTTTTACCCATTATTTCATTACAGTAACATTACTTTTTCTTGCATATGGGTTTAGACTACTCTACTCAACTCTGCTGTTATATTTGCCGTTATTTGTTCATATATTGCTTAAAATGAGAACAGAAATCTGTCATCTTATTTTGACTGATTTAATCTTTAAAAGTTAACTCTCATACTGTTTCATGAAAGTGCTACACATTTTAGTTTTAGGCCACTAGTGCAGTAACAGGAAGCTTCAAGTGAGACCTTATAGGTTTGTGTATGTTAAAAAGGGTTTTGAATGTTTACATTTATTTGAATGTTCGACTTTGCAAAAAGTTTTCGGTGAGAGAAATTCAAATAAACAGCATAAAAAGGAGACTTACATGCTCTCCCTGCTGTTTTGTGCACAGGGACATACAACTGTGTGTCAGTGTGATACATTTAGTGAATCATAATTTATTACTTATTAATGTTTGTCTTTATATATTTGTGGTGATGGCAATATAATTATTGCAATCACAATTATATTGGCTGGTAAAGGTGGTGCAGTATAATTATATGATGAGACATTATTCACTGTTACTTAAATCTCTTATTGCTTGTGTGTCTGTTGTGATTTAGGTTGCAGCTGATAGATGATCTGTCATATGAAGATGTGAAAAAATGCTACCGGGGATCAGTGAGTGCATCTTTCTTACTCTCTCCCTCATGATTTCTGAGAATATGCCATGCAACACTTAGTACTTTCATATATAGAGAGTATTTCCTGGTTTTGCATTCGGTGTTGTCGTAACATGTTTTAAAATGCCTACTGTCTCGGTATGTGGTCCCTTTTTTTTCCAAACCCATAATTTCCTTTGAGCTTACTGTCATCAGTATTATAGAATTTAGTTGTTATTTACAATTTAGACAGTTACGAACAAGGAGTTTAGGGCTAAATGTACTACTTTATGCCACAGTAATTGGGCTTTGTAATTGGGAAAACTCCATGCCATGGCTTTACTTACTGTTCTTCAGTCCCTGATTTAATCTTCAGTGTTCTGCGTGTGTTAACTGTGTTTTAACACGATTGAGTTCTCTCTTCCATCCTCTACCTTGGGTTCAATGGGCTGCAATTCACATGTTTCACAGGCTACATTGAGGCAATTATGTGGTTAACCATTAAGAAAGAGTCATAAATTACATGTTTGGTGAGTTTTTTTATCAGGTGGGAATCTCCACTTAAATTTCCAGTTGAGTGCCAAGTGTGAGACTTCCTGACTGCACTAGTGTTGATTTGCAGTTGTGAATGGAGGAGAGCAGAGAGCTTTGAGCTCAGAGAGAACTGTGAGTGTAGTTCAGCAATAAGGTGGTTTGTGAGATGTTTAAACACCAATGTAAGGAAATTGGTCTTGGTTGAAAGTAGGCATGATCGGGCATTACTCTTAGTGGCTAATTTATTGCTGAAATTGGTCAGCTGACTGGACTAACTGTGGTATTAAGCACTAGTTTTAAACACATACCACTTATAGTCCTACAAAAACCTAAGTTTTTATAAATGGAGTTACAAGCATATTATGATTACCGTTATTATTAACGCTACATGCCTCTTACACTGTGTGAGCATTTAATAATGAATGGACCAAGAAAATGGTTCAAAATTGCTTGAAATAAAATCTCTTAACATTCATATAGACTGAAAGTTAAGAATGTTTTCCATCTCCTATAAAGCTAATGTTTTGCAGTTACAGTCATATGCAAAAATTTGGATGCCCCTGTTCAAATTATATTTTGTTCAATTTAATACATCCTCTGCAGTGAACAAACTCATCTATAGCTTTTTTCTGCAATTTTTAGTGCACAAGTTGCGTTTATTTGCTAAGTATAAAATGTTAGAAAAAAATGAAACACATAAAACGTGCCATTACTTTTGCACAGACCACATTTTATGTTTTATGTATTCTTTCAGTATGTTAAATTCACCAAATGAACAGTAATATACATGTGCAGGAGTGTGTTCTCTGTAGAGGATTTGTGCTTATTTTCCTTTAGAAAATCAACAAAACATCATGTGACCTGGGCGCCCAAACTTTTGCATACGAGGTTTTCTAATAATAGCGACAATATGAGTCAATATACACATAATAAAAAAGCACTATTGAGATTTGGAAGTATTTACACAGATGAGATAATATCAGCGTATTTTACTAGAGGGTGGAGCTTCAGTATACCAATTTAAAGTATGAGTGTCTCTTTATCCAATCAAAGTCTAAGATTTTAAAGTTTTTCAACGGGAAGACAAACTGTGTCAAATCAGCTCAGCAAAGCCAGCGCTGTCCCTCTAACCGAGCCGACCTCTCTCTTCTCACAGACCGTCAGCAAGTACAACTCTCAGTACCACAAACTCTTCCAGAACGTTCCTAAAGAGGAGATCCTCATGAAAGGTAGATTATCAGATTCTTCATTCACTCATACATAATGAGTAGCGTCTACGTGTTATTCTGCACACGTAGTGCTGCTTAAGCTGTCAGTTTACTTTAATGTTGAATAACGTCTGTGTCGTAGTAAAACCTCTTGTATCTGACATGGAAGCTTTATAGGAGCAAATAATCTTAATTTTAATGTGCGCTTATATAAGAACACAAAGTCATTTTGGGCCATTTCTATTGGTCCATTAATCATGACGTTCACACATTTTAAATGACAGCTGGCGTTTTCAAAAAGTATAAAAATAAATAAATGATTGAGGTATGATGTTTTGGTATGATAGTGATGATAGTGATGATGATGATTACAACCTTTGAACTGTTTGTATGCCTGTGCAGATGTGCACCTGTGGCCTGTTTTTGGTATACTGTTGAATACTGTGGGGTTATTACTTATAGATTGCTCCATACGAAGTAAAAGTGAAAGTGCTCTGATTCTCACTCTTAGTGTACTCGTGTGCTCTCCTGAGGGACATCCTGCTGCAGGGACGACTCTACATCTCCCGCAACTGGCTCTGTTTCTACGCTAACCTGTTTGGCAAGGATATCAAGGTTAGTGCTTTACAGTTTAGGGAAGTAGACCATATAGTTTTACACCAGACTGAACAATTTTACCTTTGGCACACATTCATATAGATGTTGTAATTGGCATTGTTTTAAGAATGTTTTTACAAAAATGAAAAAAAGGAGTGTTTTCCCGTCCAGTAGCTGGATGTGGAATGTAGCTGTAGGTGGAAACTGCATTGTATTTTTGACACTGATGTAGGACAAGTACACTTTTCCTAAATCCTTTGCTTAATCATTTAGGGCAATAACAGAAATGGTCTCAATGGTCTTTGCCATCCTGCATTTTGCAAACTTGCACTTTGTTCTGCTCTCCTGTTTCCAATAGTTCAATAGTTGAACACGTTCTAACCAGCTGGAACAACGTTCTTTTACTGCCTTTTATTACCACACACTGCAGAGGTATTTCTTATTGCTGTCGTCATGTTCCTTCCCAGTTCTTCTCAGAACACTCACATGTCTGTACAAAAAGTCTACAGAGACAAACATATACTGTGGTTTCTTGCACGACAGTGAAAGCAGAGCTCATATTTATCACATTATCTCAAAGAAAGAGAACCTGTCTGATAAAATCCACCCTGTTCATATAAATGAACCAGATTAGTATAAAAAAAAAAATCCAAGATCAGTACTATTACTTTGGATGACAAATGTACATTCAGGTTAGTGTAATGCTGTTCTAAATGGCTCAAGAGGCTCCTTTGACTCAGTACACCCTAAACTACTAACCTTGCTGTTACTCTTTGTTTGTTTACCCTTTTGCTGGACTAGGCTTTTATTTTTTTTTCTGGGTTTTTTTTTGTTTGGTTTGTTTTTACTCGGAGTGTACAGAAAGCACAAAGGTCTATCAGACTGAACTACAAGCCATTGCCTGCATTTTCATTTTACATATTTTTACTATCTTCGTTTATAATTTTGATTGTTATTTATTTATTTATGTTTATTTTTTATTTATTTGGTTACTTAGTTGGTTGTATATCGCTTATTTTCGTTTTAATTGTAGTTATTTTTTACACAGAAAGACAAGCAAAGCACTGAATAGTGAATTTTGGCTCATATGAAAACTATAGAATGAATTAGAGAAGTATAATTGCCAATATAAAGAATAGAATATAAAGTAAAATAAAATGTGTTTTTTAATAGAAACTTGGAATTTTCTGAGATTAAAATCTTTCATATTGTGGTTATTGAAACAATTTAATGTTTATCTGTTCTATAAGATATTTCACCTGCAGTCTGTTTTTTTCAGATTCTTAAGAATAGTAGTACAGAACTGCAGGCCTCCATAAAATTCTGAGCCTGTTGTTGTCCATAAGCGAGCTTCTCAGTCAGCAGCTGTGATGGTGGAAAAACTTACCAAGCTAGAACTAGCCAAAAACTAGCAGAATACGATTCAGAAAGATGGGCTGTGAAGCGCTTTACAGACTGGCTGGAACAAAACAACATTCAGGCTAATCTGGCTATTTTGAAATGATGAGCTCAGCTGGATATTGTGACAGTGTAATGGCTTTGTCTGTGATGCAAAAGGCCATTGCACTTTTTTGACAGAAGGAAGTGATGGAATTGCCAGTATCAAAGCACTGAAGTAAAAGTTTTAAAGTTAAGCCTAAATTTGTGGCTTTTTTCTCTCCCTGATTGAAAAAGGGAATTTCCTCCTAAAACTATGCTAATCATTTCTGTCTCTCTGTCTCTATTTCAGGTGGCCATCCCTGTAGTCTCTGTTCGTCTTGTAAAGAAGCACAAAACAGCTGGACTGGTCCCTAATGGGCTGGCCATCACTACAGACACCAGTCAGAAGGTTGTGTAAAATGCACACAAACACACACGTCAGCATATCTGCTTTCTCATACAATAGAGTCTTTTGTTTTGCACGCTAACTATATACAAACTAAACGTCCGGTGGACGTTTAGAGCAAATGACTGTCAGTCAAAACACTGATGATGCAATGAGCAGTGTTCAAAGATTCAGTACATCACACAAAAAGTAGTTGAACATTTGATCATTCACCTCAGATGTTCTATAACATGACATAATCTCTGTCGAAGGAACCATTGTGCTCTCCGATATCACAAAATGACCACTTATGCATTTTTTATGAAAAGAAAACTATTGTTTGAATGGTTGAAAAATTTTTAGCTCAGAGATGTGTCTTGTGATGATGACGTTGATTAACATAGTAGTAAGGCATTAGAGACTGCTAAGTGAAATCTGGGTCTTAAACATCTTTTAAATGTGTTTTCACAGTATGTTTTTGTCTCGCTCCTGTCTCGGGACAGCGTCTATGATGTCCTCAGGCGAATCTGCACCCATCTGCAGGTAAAACAAAGACATGCATATTCAAGAGCATACACAGAGCACGCACAAACAACCACTCAATCGATCACAGCCATAGAAAATGACCAAGAGAACTAAGGCTGCATCCAAAGCCCCATATGACCATGCTATGATAATACACCAGCATTAGACGTCCAATCATTAGTGTGATGTGTACAGTATGGTCGTCTGTGGTATTGGACGCAGCCCGGGAAATTTGGACAATGCAACTTCTCGTTGAACGTGTGACTTGTGGAATGTGAATGTGTTCAGGTAACAGGGCTGAGTGAATGCTGTGGGGCATTAAAATGTCATAATTTTCATAATGTGTGGTTATAGTGGGTGGGAACAAAAAGGTTTAGGTTTTAGTCATGTTTCTAATTATTAATTATTATATATAAACATAGGTGTGAAGGACACTTTACCTGTTTTACACATCTTTTCCTTTACATACATATCTGTACATGCAATCAGTAGGGCACAAATGGCACCCCAAACATGAAATCACCCATAATATTAATATTAATCAACATTTTAGGTGAAAGAACACCACTGTAATGTAACTTTGTGAATGTAACTTTGCTGTGCAGGTGAATGGTAAGAAGAGTCTGAGTCTGAAGCAGTATCTGGAGGAGCCTGGCTCATTGTCAACGGTAAGAAATTCTAAAAAAAAATAAAATACAGTCTGTTACTTTCACACACTCACTCCACTACAGTCTGTTTCCATCATGTATTTATAGAACATCCTGCTACACTTTATGCAACACTGTTGACTCAGTGCAGGTTCAGCTGTGTCTGTTTGCTTGACGTGTTGGCAGTCAGTGACTGTTGACTGAACCACCTATAGCTGAACTGTTAGGTGCAGGTGACCCACAACATTTACCTTATATGAATGCATCTGTGGAAATACTGACACTGATGGATCAAATATTTTATATGTACTTAACTGGCCACTTTATTCGGAAACACCAACCTAGTACATTCATGTTACCTATGTACAGTTAGAGACTGTAGCCAAATAGATGCTCAGTTTGTGACCACAGAACCACTCTTGACTGGATATTTTTGGGTGTCTGATGAACTCCCAACCTAGCAGTTTCCAACAAAGTGAGAGTAACCTTGGATGATCATTATGCTCAGTGTGTATGGAAGAGGGAGATGTGTTTCACCCCACACACACACTCACACACTTAGAATACAAACAAATCGCTGCCTCTTCAAAAAGTCTTCAAATCTGTCAGATCCACTTTCTGGTCTTTTCCGGGTTTTGTAATCACTGGTAGATCTTACAATATGTGGCCAATCAGTTACAATAGTTAAGTTTACTAACCATGATTACAAAATCCATGGCCGGAAACTGTTTTGAAGGCCTCTATCTTAAAGCTTAAACCTCAACCTATTATTCAGTTATTCATCCAATTAGGGTGGTCACTCACACCTGATCCCTGTTCTTTAAGTAAAACAGGGTGGTCACTCACACCTGATTGCCATCCCAATGAAACACCTGACTAATTTCACCTTCGAATTATCTGCTAGTCCTAAAGGTTCACACACTTTTGCCACTGACAGATATGTAATATTGGATCATTTTTCTCATTTTTTCAGTCAAATTTATGCAGAAATCTAGAAAATTCTAAAGGATTCACAAACTTGCAAGCACCACTGTACACTGGATGTTGTAACATTGCTGTGAGTATTAGTGAGGTCAGGTACTGACGTTGGATGATTAGTTGTGGATCATAAACGGCACTCCAGTTCATCTCAAAGGTTTTGGATGGAAATCATCACTCCAGAGAACACAGTAACACTGCTCTACAGCCCAGTGCTGAAGTACACCTCTTTCTCTTTCTCTCTCCCTCTTAGGATGAGTTCCCGGTGACCACTGATTTCCCCCCGGTGTTAAAATGGCGCAGGAAGCCATCTGTCCCTTCTGTCACTTCCTCTCTGCCTGATCTTTTGGGGAACTCCACCAGTAGCCTCAGTGCAGGAGATGCTCCTTTCACCAGCGATGCCCCACTGGAAGGTACAACCCTCACACTATCGTGCTACCATACCACTGCACGCATCACTTCATCCACCCTAATCTGTCATATATGTAATATTAAAAATCATTGAAAAGTCATTTGTATTTAACCTACGTCACTAAGCTAAATACAGTCCAATCCAGTAACGACTGATGTATAACTGCTCCTTTTGTGCTGCTGAGGTTTGCATGCAGTCAAAGCACACAGCTGAATCCTCTGTTAGATAAGCAAACGATTACAGCTGTATGTGACACAGCTGAACTTTTGCTAAGGACTTTATCTAAACCTGTGCAGTCTTAGACATTGTATACCCCCCTCACACTGTGTAATTAGTCTCACTTTGTTTCTTCATTCATTACTCATTATTTTATATTCATTAGTCATTTCTTTATTCCTCTCATAACTCTTACTGCTTTTGTTGTGTTAACGTTTCTCTGTCTGGGGTCGACCAGAGGAGGATGGGTTCCCCTTTTGAGTCTTGGTTCCTTTCAAGGTTTCTTACTTTGCTCTTAGAGAGTTTTTTCTTGCCACTGTTGCCCTTGGCTTACTCACTAGGGTCTTAGACCCAGATTTCTGTAAAGTTGCTTAGTGACAAGAAAAGAACTTGAAAGTGCTTTTGTGCAAAAAGTGCTATACAAATATATTTGAATTGAATTGAATGGAACCGAATAATTCAGGGACTGTATATTCATCCACTGAATTGACAGAACAAATAATCATGTTAATGGATAGATTACAAAACCTTCATCACTATTTAACAGCATCATGAACTATTTCCTCAGTCCTGTACAGACTCCACAGCTAAACAGTTTCACAATAGTTTGTGTTTCAGTTCAGAATGTAAACACATGTAGTTAACTCCCCAATTCAAATATTTATTTAAAGCATTAAGACTAACATTGAAGGCTGCTGTTCGTGATAAGAGTAGTGTTTAAGGTCTTTACCCTACAGATACCACTGAGATGGTTGGTAATATTTGAACAACTGTACAGCAAAAAATACCCCCAAGACTTAAAGAAACAAGTTTTATTTTCTTTTATATCCTCATAATCAGACGTCCAGTAGTGTAAAGCCTTGCCTTTGCGTTTCCACTCCCTTTCCAGCATAATCCTACTGAAGACTGGTTTTCATACATCCAGAAGAACTAGAAGAGAACATAAAAACTTTTGTGAACAGGTTTTTCAAGTAACCAGACACTTGACCTCTTCTCGATTGTCCACGTGCAACAGCATATTATTCAGCTTGTACACAGACAAATAATGAAAATGATTGAGCTATTATTAAGTTATAAGAATGACAAGTAGAAATTTGTTTCCTAACTGGTTCACAAAAGTAAGAATTGCAAACAAAACAATTTGTAATTTGATTCCATACAGTGAAGTAGATGTGGAGTAATTTATTTTAGCCTTAGACAGTGAGTTAGACCGAACTAGTTGATCCCATGACCTGCTTTGGGACAAGGAAATTAATGCTACCGTCAAAAGATATACTACCAGTCAAAAGTTAGGAATCACTTACCATATTCATAAATAAAGGTATTTTTAGATGTTCTTTTCAATATTTCAAGAATGCTGTGAAGAAGAAGTGAATAAAATGATAAATAATATACTGTAAGAATCTGTTTACATTCATTTTGGTCAAGTTGATATTTGATGTCAACTTTTGAAATATGGTGAACGTAACTTCTTAGTGTTACACAGTTTTAGAATCTTCTACAGCTCCAGTCATCATTCTGGACCCATCTAAAAATGCTGAATTTTTATTTACAGCTTCCAACAATTTCAGACATTTGAACAGAAGTGAAGAAGAACCCAAAACCAGAAAGTTGAAGCAAAAAACACTAGAAAGTAATTTTCAATGAGCACACTTGATGAATATACAAGCAATTCTCCCAGCAAATGTTCTAGTTTAAGACATTCAGTTTCTGCATTGTGCTGTAACTGTTGCTGTTTTGTTTTATATTTTTCAGAGAGGCATCTGGAGGCTGAAAAAATTCTGCTGACTGAGCCAGTGCCTGAGCTAGGACACATTGAGTACCAGCTCCTCAAATTCTTCATCCTACTGTATGTACCACAACCACATCTGCTCTGTCAGAGAGTGTCAGCAATTGTGTAGAGATAATTAGTGCAGATAACTGGATATGAAAGTGCAGCTTTATAGCCGTATTGCTGCTCACTGCAACTTGTGTGTTATTTTACCCAACTATTAGCATATTTTAAATATCTTTTCATTCCATGGTTTGATTTCTTTTTTATATTTCTATAGTACCAGTATTAAAGGCCCTTGTATAAAAATCTGCTTTAAGAAACTTTATATTTTTTATATATATAATTCTAAACCTTTATTTTTTCTCTCTTTACTTAGACATTTCAGTTTAATATTTGGTTATAAATTAAGATCATATCTAAAGTTTAAGCTTAGAGTTTGGTTTAGAATTAGAGAGAATTAATTTAGTTACACTGATATTTGGATCAACACTTAGTCCTCCCATGTATGCTAATGTAGATATGCATGTGTGCATCTCCACAGTATTATACTGCTCATTATGTCATCATGTTACCTGGCCTTCCGCGTATGCAGTCTGGAGCAACAGTTGTCCTTCCTCAACACACAGCCTACCTTACCAATGAGAGAAAGGTGAGCATTTCTTATGCCCAGGCCCATTTCTGAACATTTGGGGTCCTATGCAGCATCCTACCCTAGTTTTATATGTTTTTATGTGCAAGAATAGAACAAACATTAATACTTAAATGGCTCCTATCATACAAAAACAAATTTTCCTCACTTATTTTTTTAAATAAAAGTTTGATGTATGTAAACAGGTTCACAGGTTTTGGTTCAAAAAACAATTTTTATATCCATTTCTGACAGTGAGGGACATGCAAGGCACTTAAGATAATCAGAAAAAAATAAGTTTTCTTTGGAGACTATGTACTATTTTACCATTATCGACATAACATATGAAACTCATGAAACACACACAGGTTCACTGGTGGTTTGGATAATAAATAAAATGGCTTTATTAGTGTTGTTGACATCATGATCCCTGGTTCCTATCACCATCACTGTTAATACATCATTAAGTTTCTCTACAATGAATGCTTCTGAATGATTTTGCACCTCAATGAATGAATTATGCTGAATTTTTTGAAAAATTAATAGAATTCCCCTTCAAATGCATTGTAAAAAAAAAAAAAATACATATTCCGTGGTGGCTCTGGGATCCTAAGCAAATACTACTACTGCTTATAACAAGAAAGAGCCCTGCTTAAGGGTCCAATGTTTAGCATCAATGTTCTTAAACCTGTGTCAGGCGTTAATCGATGGACCCTGAAAAGTCTCAAACAAGTAATGGAGTTGCCAATACTAGTTATGCATATGTGTGTTTGTGTGGTTGTCTGTCTGCAGGTAACACAGGCTGGAAAACTGTACTTCTGTTATCCATCCATTAACGGATGTGAGGAATTACCCAGGTGTCGTGTACTGGAAAGAAAATCTGCTCATCCACCATAGGAGCTGTAGTGAAGTAGCACTTAACCAATGGACCGATAGAGGGCGCCAGAGATTCCTACAAAATCTGCACTACTGACTAGCTGCACAGAGGAAAATAACAGGAATGAAGACTGCTGGGCATTAATTCTGTTGTACCATTTTACTTTGGGAAGTCTTTCACATTGTACAACACCATGACTAAAAGACTAAGGACACATTAGGACAATAGAACACATTGTCATTTCCTTTAATATTTCACATGCCAATCATTTCTAGACTTTGAAATGCCACCATGGTGCCAGTGCATGTTTACTTTACTGGAGAATTTACACAAGGATCTTTGCTTGGGAAACTGTATAGTGAAGGAAAACATTTCAGATAACAACATCAGTCACTCATTTCACCCCAAACAATAGATTTGCCTTAATCATATGAGTGTCATTCTGTTTCTGTTTGACAGCCCCATAGTGACTAATATGGATGAAGGGTTGATGTATTGTCAGTGATGTGTCTGTTGAATGTCTTGTGAGATTCGGAATGTTTCTTTGACGGCCGACCTGAAACGAGCTGAGTCGACTGTAGGAGCAGACAGAATTACAGTGTGGTACCACTGCAAAGACACAAAGCATGAGGTGTCGAGATTAATGGCAATCATGCAATTAAGTTAACAGCAAAATGAGTTTGCCTGTCATTGTATGATCGTGCCTACTAACTTTGCTCTTGATGTACTAAATGTCGTCATAGGAAATGGTTACATGTAGCAATGTACTTGAAATATGCTGTTGCATTTCAGGCATGGTTAAACATACAAACCCAATTTTAAAGAAGTTGAAACGGGAGATAGAAAAATAGGAAAGAGTGATTTGTGAACTGTCTTTTATGAGTGTTGAATTGAAAACTGCACAGAGAAGAGATATTTAATATTTTACCTTTAGAAACATTTACCTTCTCACTGATATTTGTAAATATATACTAATTCCAAGTTTGAACCTTTTCACAGGTAAACAGGTGAATAGGTAACAGCTGATGCCATCATAAGCATTCACAAAAGGCTGACTATACGCGTGTAGTTCAACAGTTTAAGAACGTTTTTCAGTGCATGATTGCAAAGAAATTTAGGAATTTCATCATCTACAGTCCTAAACATTATTAGATGCTTCAGAGAATCTGGAGAAATCTCATAAAGGACACGGCCGAAAACCAATATTGAATGCCCATGACCTTTGTCACTGCATTAAAAACTAACATGCTTCACTAATGAATATAACCACATGGGCTCAAAAATACTTCAAAAAAACCCTTGTCAGTAACCACAGTTTGCGACTGCATCTACAAAAGCAGTCCAGACCTGTCTCCCATTGAAAGCATGTGGCACATCATGATTCACAGTATACAACAACAGAGACCTCTGACTATTGAGTGGCTGGAGTATTATATCAAGGAAGAATGGGAAAAAATTCCACTTTCACAGCTACAACAATGGGTGTCCACAGTTCCTACACGATTACTGACCATTGTTGAAATGTTGTTAGGAACAGGTTGCAGGCAACGGATGCAGGCAGTGTTTTTATTGACATTTTTTCTACTGTCCCAATTTTTTTGGAATTGGGTTTGTACTAGAGAATGTAGTAGATAGATGAATGGAGAGAGTGTGCGTTCAAGTGCACATTCACTATATTTATTTGTGTGATATTTTGTACAGAAACATAGAGAAATTTTATCTCGATGAAAATATATGCTCACAGTGTACAGCATAGAGTTTTTTAACTGTCAAACACTCATTGTTTAGATAGCAATGACTAATAAACTGCTTTAACTAGTGCCTGTGTTTATTTCATTTTATCCAGTACTATATATACAGTTCCATATAAAGAATATCTCAGTTCATTGTGTGCAGTGTTTTATGATTGTGGGAAGTTGAAGAAAAGTCACAGCAAGGCTTTTCAGCTGGTTTCCCATGCATGGATTAAGTCTAGTCATGGACTGAATTGTAATACTTACGGTGATTTACTGTTAAAAAACCTTTTTAGTTCAGGCTTAGGCATAATAAGCTAAGGAAAGCCTGCACCTTACATTAGTATCTGTAGCAATCCAGCATGTATTTCTCTACTTCTCAAACTATGTCCATTTTGCTTTTATGAAAGGTTTTGTCATGTGCTTTAACCTGAAATGCATGATATTGACTGTAATGAAATGATTTTGGGGGAGTACTTATTAAATATACAGTGATAGAGTCATATACATTGAGTAGAATATACATTAATGTATTCATAATTAACAATATATACTCTATTACAAAGCAGTTGGATGTTGTGGGAAATACTAGCTAGCTGTTTTATGTTGTGTGTATTCTTATGTCCAGTAGGGGGCGCTACAGCCTATGGCTTGAGATATAATTGAGTTTTTTGGTACTTGCAGACCTATGGCTGAAATTTTGATCCTCAACAATATTGATATTGGTATAATATTGATGTGCATCATGGTTAATGGCTTTTATCAATTGATTGTTGTGAATCCTACAGATGTCCTGCAATCGTACCAACTGTCTTCACCACTATTTCCACTCCTCGTGTTCTTTACTCTCTCAAATATAGGCAGCACATTGCCAAGGCAAAAAAACAAATATCTGCCCATTCTCTTGGTCAGGAAGAGGATCTACTTGCCAAGGTCTTCTGTCTGTAGGCTTCTTTGTAACCGCATCATTAAATATACTGTTTTTTTTGGTCTGGCAGACTTAACACTGCAGGCTATGTGATAAATGAATTTATGAAGATGAAAGGTTGTAGAGGGCTGAGGATGTGTTTATACACATATACAATGGCCAAAAGGATTGCTCACATGCACGTACAGTCATATGCAAAAGTTTAGGCGCCCCTAGTTAAATGACGTTTTCTTGATTTTCTAAGTGAAAATAAGCTACACATCTTTTATAGAGGATACATTTCTACTATTTTAACACATAATTTCTGTTTATTTGCTGAATTTAGCATTTTTGGGGAAAACATTACATTTAGAATGTGGTCTGTGCGAAAGATATGGCACATTTTATATCCCAAAATGTTAAACAAGAATTGTGCACTATTTTTTTGCAGAAAATGCTGCATTTTAGATTATTCTCTGTAGAGGATGTGTTAACTTGTTTTCACTTAGAAAACATGTCACTTGGCCTGATGTATTCAAACTTTTAGAGATGACTCTGTCATGCACTGAAGTTTAACAACTGTTTCTGATGTGTTTATTCTGTCTGTTCACTTAAAGGAAGAAAGCATCAAGAAATTACAGATGTTCCAACAATACAATGCAAAACACCACACAGTTCATTAAATTAAATTCAGACACGATTTAAAACCCATTAAGATCTGGCGGGGCTGCGTTGGGAAATGAGTGGAGAAGAAGCCGCTATAGACTGAGTGTGGACAGCAGTGAAGAATGTGTGGGATGCAGTTTCTTTAAATCATTTTTAAAACCTTATTAAAGGTATAATAAAGTTGTGTGAAGTTGTTTCCCAGAACAGAGGAGCTACAAAATGCTCATAACAAATACATCGTCATATCATAACATGGCCATGTGTTGGTACTATTCAACAGAGAACATCCATCAGTTTTTCACACAGAGGCCGAATACACTGGTCTTTTGGTAGTGAGTTAACGCTACATTTGCTTTGATTAGACCGTCTCTCTGGATGAGAGCATCTGCTATAAAGTAAATTAAGTTTCATTCACGTTCAGGTTGCCTTTTCTCCCTTTGAGCCCATGCCTGTTATACTGCTCTCGTGAACGTCTAGCAGGTTTGGACTTGGGACAAGACTTATTATATAAGCTGAGTGTGCTGTAAAAAAGTGTTTGCCCCTTCCTTATTTCCTCTGTTTTTGCATATTTGACCACACGAAATGGTTTCAGACGCTTACACAAGGAGAACATGAGGAAACAGAAAAAAGTTTTTAAATAATAATTTTATTTGTTTAAATATAAAAGTTCTGTGACAACCTATAGCACTCATGTGAAAAGTAATCGCACCCCTAAATTTATGATACAGGGGTATAACTGGCGGTGCCGCCTTTAGCAGCAACAGTTGCAACGAAATGATTCCTATAACTGGAGATCGGTCTGTCACATCTATGCAGAGGAATGTTGGCTCAATCAGAAATGCTTTAATTTAGCCACATTGGAGGGCTTTTAAGGATAAACTGCCCTTTTATGGTCTTGCCACAGAATCTCAATGACTAGGCCACTCCAAAACCTTAATTTTGTTTCTTCCGCGCCATTCACACGTGGACTTGTTCTTGTACTTTGGATCATAGTCTTGCTGCATAACCCAACTGCGCTTAAGCTTCAGATCGTGGACTGATGACCAGACATTTTCCTGAAGAATTTTCTGGTAGAGAAGAGAATTCATGGTTCCCTCAATTAGGGCAAGTTGCCCAGGCCCTGAAGCAGCAAAGCATCCAAACCCCATCACATTACCACCACCATGTTTGACTGTTGGCAAATGTGAAACAAGCTTTTATGTTTCTCTTTGTTTGCAGTGGTTTTCACCTTGCAACTCTCCTCTCCAAATCTGAGGTGAGTGTGGCCTGCATTTCCTTAGATGTTCATCTGGGTTTTTTGTGACTTCCTGGATGAGCCATCTGTTCTCTTGGAGGAATTTTGGCAGGCCGGACACTTCTGGGAAGATTAACTTGTTACAAGTTTTCTCCACTTGGAGATAATAGCTCTCACTGGGTTCACTGGGGTCCCAGACTCTTAGAAATTACTTATACTACTTTCCAGTCTGATATATTTTGCTAACTTTCTTCCTCATCTTTCAAGAATTTCTTTTGAATGCTGTGCAGTGTGCTACCTTTTGGCCTACTTCACATTGCTGGAAAGGTTCTATTTAAGTGATGTTTAAACAGGGCTGGCAGTAATCCAGCCTGGGTGTGTCCAGGTCAACTGATCCCAAATATCAACTGAATTGAGTTAACTTTATCACACAAGCCCAAATGGAGTTGGATAACTTAATAAATGGGATGATAAACTTCAATAAATGAAATGATCATTTAGAAAGTGTCTTTTGTGATTATTCAGTTTGCCTTTGTCTTATAACATGACCAGGCTATCTCTTCGTCAAAAAGAACTTGCAAAGTGCTGAATCCAGAAAAAGGTAAAAAAAAAAAAACTGAAACTGAAAAAGGTTCAGCGCTTCTTCATGCTGGGAAGGCCATGTGCTGAAATGCATCTGTGCATAATTGACAAGTTTAAGAAATATTTTGGCAATTGTATGAGTGCTGTCCACACTTTTTCTATTTGTCTTTGTCTTATATTAAATTTTGTTTGAAAATCTGAAACAATTAAGTGTGACAAATGTGCAAAAATAGAAGAAATTGTATTTTTTTTTGCCTATGGATGGAAAATTCCTCCCCACTGCCTTCACAGCAAAGAATAACCACAAATTACTGGGTTTGAATGGAATTAACCATTCATAACATTTCTAACAGTTTGTTTTGTTATGTTTGTAACAGTGGTGTAAAAACAACATTGAGGGTGAGTAATTCAGTGTTTTAAGAATTAACGTCCACTGTGTCTGACTTCCATCAAGTCTTATAGAAAAGATCAGTAAGTAGTTCGGTGAAACTTGAGTTTTCCGGGGTTTTGCAGTGCCAATCTGATGGCTCAAGGGAAGCCAGCAGTCTGAAATAACACTGCTGTGGATTTGTGGTCTATTGCTACATGATGTTTCTCGGCCAATTAAATCAAAATGAGGCTGGTGAGTGAAACTGGACTTCCTTTACTCCCTCATCCCAGTCAAATAAAAGTGCCCCTTTTACCCCTTACTCTTTCAACTTTCAAAAGGTCTTTTAATATCTGCTAAACAAACAGGAATTGAAATGTCATGATGTGATTTCCCACATTTTTCTCATGTGTTTTCCCTGATTGTTCTTGCCTTCTGTGAGCAGAGGCAGAGGAAACCACAAACAGTGCACACCTGCACACTAAACATTCTGAGGCCTCTGGGCTTGTATGGATTAGAATATAATATTCAAAAATGTGAACAGGACATTCTAGCCAGTGTATGTGATGGGGTGGGCCTAAGGTGGACTAGTTGCCACAGAAATTTGATTGGCTAGCACACATCAATATTCAGTATCTTAGTCTTGTTAGATAGCTAGGTAATTTTGATTGCCAGAATGTTGTCCTATACATTTTACTTGTACAGACTGTACAGAAGGGGGATGTGCCTCCAACAGGAAAAAGTTGTGCTGAATTAAAAGATAAATAGAACCCATATTACTCGACTGGAAATACTTCAGTATCAGTTACATAACATGGTAAAATGAAAAACGTAGTAGCAATGCCATTGTACCCATTAGTCTGGGCACGCCATTGCTTTTCCTTTCGATTTATAACCTACTGTGGACTGATCATAGCACTGGGTGAGTTTGACTGAACATGGTCCAGACTGTCTTGAAGCCCAGGGAAGGTATCTTCCACTCTGCTGCTAACCCTTTGTGCTAAAGATGGCACAATACCACTTTTTTTCTTTCACAATACTAGTGTTGAAACCGTACACTAACAATTCCAGCATTTTTTGCCGGACAAGATGTTGGCCCGATGCTGAGACCTGTTATCGGATCTGTGCCATCTCTATTGCTATCACAAACCCTGCTCTGAGCTACACTATGTGGCCAACAGTATGTGGACATCTGATCGTTACATCCATATGAGCTTTTTGGACATCCCTTTCCAAAACCATGGGCATTAATATGTTATCACAAAGTTGGAAGCATATAATTGTCTAAAATATCTGTGTAATACCCTTCACTGAAACTTTGGGGCTGAGCC